AGAAAATGAGTATTAGTAACTAAGGAGCCACAGGTTCTTACACAGTTGAAAGACATTGGAGTCTAAACAATATTCCTCTTTCTCAAATTCATTATGTATGTGTTGAAAATGCATTGGGAGCCTTCAACTACTTTTTACTGACTATGCTAAGAGTAATTTAGCAGTATTAAAAACTGACAACGAACATGCTTGTCTCTCGGAAAGAATTTGGGAAATTGTGTCATGTTAATTGAACCCTGCTGTGGTAGGCACATAAATTGATTTCTGTGGAGGACTATCAAGAACACACTCTGTCTCTGGAACAGGGGCTTTAAAAAAAGGATGGGAGGAAAGCTGCGGTTGGGATCATTAGCTTTGTATAGTAAATTAAAAAGAAAATGACTACCATAATGTCCCCATCCTCTTCATATTTAGAAGTCATGAAGGGAAGATCATAGTTAGCTTATTTCCTTCAGAGTTGTGCCATCGAGCAAGGCAGAGAAGAAAAACATTGAATTATGGTTTGCTGCCTGTTCTGCCTGCCTGTAAAGCTGAAGGGGAAGAACATCTGCCTGTTATTTCTTAGGTGGAGCTAGAATATGCACCTAATGGCAGGCACAATCAGCGCACTAAGCATGTGATCTGTTCATAACATATCTGAGAAGCAGGGGAGTCATTGGTGTCTTTCCCACAAGATACGGTTTGGCTGTATAATGTAGTTGACTGTATGATTGTGGGCTATGTCTTAGGTAGGTTACATAAACCGGAAAAGGCAGATGGTCAACCTTGAGAGAGAAAGTGGGTCCAAAGTAGGAACTGAAGACTAGAGAAGGCAATAGGGAATTCTGACAGGGTGTGGGTGCCGGTCCCATGGCTCTAGCTTAGAAATTCATCCACAATGAAGTCAGATTAAAGTTTCCTCTTCTTCTGTGGGCACCAAGCAGTTAGAATAGCAACTAAACTTGACTGTTTATACTTCATTAAGGAACGGGCTACATTTAATCATCCTGGGTACTGCTTTACGTCTGGTACAGAACCCATGCTCAGCAAATACCTTCTGAATGATAGCTTATAAATGCCGTATTTCCTATGCTAGGGTAGAATGGTATGAAATGGCTGGAGAAGAACCTGGATTGTTTACATTATAGCAAGAGGCATATCAAACAGGCACAGCTGATAGCAGAGATGTTGACAGAACAGAGCAGTGGTTACTGCCTTGCTCATTTGAAGCTAGATTCAGACTGAATTCCAGCTCCACTGCTGGCCAGGGGTGTAAACTTACATAGTTCATCTCTTAGTGCCTCAGTTTAAATGGGAATAGTATCGAGCTGAAAGGGGTTTCATGAAGACTGCACATATTAAAATTTTATATGTGAAGTGTGTCAACAGTGACTGTATAAGGCAAATGGCTGTAACTGTTATTTTAACTGCTAACAGCTCTAGAAAATAACTCTCCAACAAGTTAAGATTTGTGTTACTCTCTGATGGCTTTTCATAGGATTTCTACAGCTCTGGACAGAAGGCCAGGGAAGAGGTTCTGAGATGATTACAAGGGCGACAAAACCAATCCCAGAGCCAGAGAGGGCCTTTTGGGGACTTGGTTACGGCAGGGCCAGGACTGGAATCCAGTCTACTGTGACTTTTACAAGCATTGCAACTAAACAAAAGGATTGAAACTTGGCCTGTATATAAAATGGATGCCATAATTGAGACAATTAAGGGTTGCAGTTAAGGTCTGTGATGCTGGATGTTTATAAACTCTGGTTTAGCAACAGGTATTCAGCAATTATAGCCTCAGTAATTTGAGAAATGTTGTGAAATTGTGTGTTATATGGGCATTAATCATAATAGGGCTAAACTTCTTTCTAGCCATATAAGTTGCATGAAACTGATCAAAATATTTAGAATAATACAAAAGTATAAATCAGAGCTGGAGAGATGTCTCAGTGGTTAAGAGCACTTGCTGCTCTTGTGGTGGATCCAGGTTCAGTTCCCAGCAACCACATGGTGGCTTACAACCATTTGTAATTCCAATTCCAGGTGATCTGATGCTCTCTTCAGACCTTCACAGGCACAAGTCAAGCACATGGTACAAATACATACATGCAGGAAAAGTATTCATACACATAAAATAAAAATGAAAATTTAAAAAAGTATTCACTATGATAACCAGGTACTTTACTTGTATAGATTTTACTAAAATGACAAGAGCTATAGCTTAATTCTTCTCTATAATTATAAGGGGAACTTAAACCATATAATTTTTTTGAGTATGGTTCAGATTAATGATCTTTAGAGCACAGCTGATATTATTGTGACCCAGTATTACCCTTCATCTGTACCAGCCTTCAGAGGTCCTGCATGTCTGTGGCCTGCTCCTCTGCAGTGACCACATCCTGGGGAAAGGAAGTACCATTGCTGTCTAAGTTGCTAAGCAGATGGGAATAGGGCAGTTATCCTTAATTCTATTTCTTTGTTCTCATATAAAGTTCAGAGGAACCATAAACATATGTATTTAAGCAGTGTCCTTTGGAAATAACTCAGTAAATATACTTGCCAGTTTAGAAGTTGACCATAATCACCAAATATTAGGTGAAACCTCAGCCATGATAAATGAATCCATATAATCAGGTATCTTGAATCAAAGTAAGACGATGACTATCTCTTTATGGTTTTAAAGTGTCTAAATAAAGACAGCCCCTGCACATTTCAACTGTAGATCCTGATAGCCTCTTCAGAGAGGGATGTGGTTCAAAGGAAGGAAGGGTTCTCGGGAAATCTTCCATTTACAACAAAAAGTAAATCTCCTATTTGCTGGAATGTTCAGAAATAAGATTTTTCTTTGAGAAAATTTATCCCAAGAGAAGATTATAGTAGACCTAAACCAAACCAAACCGTTACAAAATTCTCTACAAAGAGATAGAAACCTCATTTGATCTCAAACATGTCAGTAACCTGAGAAAGACTAGAGGGTAAATTACCAACTCAGCTGGCATTTGCTTCCAGGAAGAGCCAAGCCTCCTGCTTTACCGTCCATAGCCCAGAGAGGACAAAGACAGCATGACGGAGTACAGACACAGTGCTAAGTAGAGAAGGCAGGAGGAAGCCTCTGCTGATGCAAGCCATGGGTAGGTATCCTGAGGAGAATCTCAAAAGTCAGCTCTTTCATATGTGTAGTTATATTTGCACCTCCTCAAAGACAAAGCTGACAAGGAATTATGACTGGAAAAAAGGAAAAGAAATCTTTTCAGCTGAATAGTAGACCTCCTCCCATTATTCTGCTCTCATGAACAGCACTGTTCCATAGTGGGTCATATGATATTTTCTAAGGACAAAAAGAAAAACAGTGGACCTGAGCTCAGCTCCATCCCCGACTCCCTCTTTTCACATGTGCCTCAAACCTAATATTAGGGACTCATCTGTTTATGCTGATTTCTTGAATGCTCTCCCAAACTACAGATGTTACTATATCCTAATGTGTTTATAAAAAATATAGGTATTAAATGAGTTTCAAGTCTAAACAGTGCCCATATATTGGAAAAAGTAGTTGGGAAGTGACCGGACTAAGCTCCTGAGAATGTAATTTGATTTTCCCCTATTCCCTCCCCGAAAGTGGCTATATTAAATGGAAAAAAATTATTTTCTTTTGATGGAAAGCTTCTTTATTCAATAGTTAGGCAAATTATTAACTTCAATTTATACTTAATGTTTCTATCATATCATCTTAAAAATGTTATTAAACTACACGAAATATGAAGCTTTGCTAAGCATTGTGACTACACGATAAACTGCTGATTAGAGTTTACATCTTTAATATTATTTCCAAAATTCAGAACAGCCAAAAGATATGCAGTTGATTAACCATGCTACTACTGCATAATGAATTTGTTAGTATCCACCTTAACCAACTCAGAGAGTCACCTCCTTAATTCTTTAACCTAAAGAAAGTGCAACTTTAAAATGATCTTTAGATGATGAAATACCTTACTCGTTCACGTATCTTAGCTAACAAAATTAGGCATTTGTTCAGTACAGTGATTCTGGATGGGATGAAAACAAAGTTATCTCTTATTGAAAGCCCCTCTAAGTGAACTGTCAATACAAAGTATAAATAAACAGATGCACTTACCTGAAATTAAAGTTCAGAGAGTTGGAAAATGCAGGGAAAAGTTTCAATCGACAGACAAAAAAAAAAACAAAAAAAAAAAACCACAAAGAGGAGCATGTGCAGCCTTCGGTTGGGCTTTCTGCCTTTGCAAGTGGCAGTGAGGCCAGTCCTGGCCAGTCCCCTCATGTTATGTAACATCTTATTAATATTAGCCATCAGACTGCTACCAAGCTGGTGAGGCACTAGAGGGCAAGAGTGACACATGCAAGACCCATCTCCAAGGGACCAGCTCTGGGACCACTTCAGGGAAGACAGATGCTAACTAAGCTGATAAATACCAGATGTCTGAAAGCAGCAGCAAAACTTGCCCTTGTTCCTCAAAGAAGATTTTAAAGGCCAGTTTCTGACTAGCCCGAGTTAACAGGTTAATAAACACGCGAAAGCAAAGAACCACACCATGCAAAAAACTTTCAGTATTATATTTACAACCCACAGTGACTCAGGAGGTTTGTCTCTGCATTGTTTAAAATCAACGCATTTAAGACGGAAAAGGAGACGTGGAATATAAAGTCAACGAGTGTCGATCTCGAGACCCTTCGTTTCCAGTCGCTAGAAACTTGCGATGGTCGCGCGCTGCCATTCCTAGAGTCCGCATTTCAAGTGGCCAGGGGTGGGATCCTAGGTGTGCAACCTGCCCGCCATCCTAGAGATTACCTCGGGCTGCGGAGCGCCGGCATCCTGCTTCCCGGTCCACCTCCTGTCTGCGCTACCGCGGCGCGGCCACCGCAGCGGCGGCCTCCCCCAGCACGGGATCGCCGGCCCGCCGAGTGGGATGGGCGCGCGGGGCGGGCGGGGCTTGCAGGGCGAGTGGTCCAGGCGCTCGGGGCGGGGCGGGGCGGAGTGGCCCCGCCCTGGCGCGCGCTCTGGGACCCGTCCGCGCCCCACGCCGCGGCGCAGTCTCCGGGGTTCCTGCAGCTTGCGCACGCCCGCCGGAGCGGGAGGAGGCGCGAGTCAGGACCCAGCTCCTGCCAGTCCTGGGAGCTGCGTGAGGGGTTCAGGGACGGGCAGAGACACACCATAGGTGCCGGTGCCCTGCACGGGATAGCACATCCCGCGGGCTTTCCTCCTGCCCACTAGCCTCCTAAGGCCGGGTCCTCTCCAGCCAGAAGACTGGCGCAAGGCCAAAGACAGATAAAGAGGCATTTTTAAATTCAAGGTGAGGGTGGGCGAAAGCTTGATGGGAAGGTGTCTTCCAAGACACTGTTGACCATGCCAAGGCAAAGCAGTTTGAGACAGGGGCAATCCACCAATGGTAACTTGTAAAGGACATTTCTGTGGACATGATAATACTTAGAGGACCAGTCACCAACTCACAGGGTGCCATGTCCCACTTGCTTTAAGTGACAGAGGTCAATGCTCAGACTTGTTGGGGCTATTGAACTCAGGTCTGGCCAAAGGTGGCACCATGTTTTCTTGGTGGTTAGGATTAGTACGTGTCCAAGCTTAGCCATTCAGAGACAAAAGATTCCATTTCTAGATGTTTTGGGGCCCTGCTTATACAAGTGTGCTGTCTTATATTGAGTTCTGACGAGTGAAGCGCAGTTGAAGCTTCACGGTCCTCTGAGGGCTGGAGACAGCGCTCCTGTTCAGGGATGGAAACATAGATGTTGGAGATCACGCGCACTGGTGCGCTTTGAACCCCGGTGAGACTGAGATACCTCCCACCTTTACGTGTTGTCGTACATGAATCCATAAATCGACTTTTGACTTAAGACAGGTCGGGTTATATTTTCTGGAAACTAGTAGTGAAAGAAAGAGATGCAGATGATTGGGAAATCAAACACTTTGTATTGCTTGATGATTTTAGGAAGACATTTGGATGTATACAGCCTTTGGATGTATAAGGACATTTATAATGACATTCGGATGTACAGTGCCTTCAGCAGATTACAATATCTTAAGTTAGTTGGCATTTCATTTTGTTTTTTTGTTTTTGGTGTATTATTATTAGGTGCTGGGGATGAAACCCAGAACCGTGTAGATACTAAGGAAACACTATGCCACTGAGCCACATCCCTAATCTGGCCTTCTTCCTTTCTTCTTTCTAAGTCTTTCTTGCTCCATGAGTAGAAGAGTATAGAGAAGGGAGGGGAACAATCTCTGCTGGAGCTACAGAAGTATTAGGCGAGTAAAACTCTCTGGCCAGATGACAGGTATGAGACTGAATCTCCTAATTTTATGTTCTGTTGTTGGAGTCTCTCTTGAGAGTCTTGTGTCTTCCAAGAATGGTCTTCCGTGAAAACACCCTGTTCGTGTTTGTATGCTTACTCCAGAGAGCCTGCCCTGCCTCCGCAGCGTCCATGCAGCCGTCCGAAACTTCTGGTTGGGAGATGGTTCAAGAATGAAGAGACTGGCCACCAAGTCAGAGAACCCGAGTTCGGTCCCAACAGCCCCACGTGGTGGGAGGAGAGAACCAACTTCTACAAGTTGCCCTCTGACCTTCACACGCGGACACACAACCCCCTTCCCTAACAGACGAGCCAGAGGGGATGGAGGACACCGAGGAATCAAGGCTTTCTTTACACAACAGGGCTGGCACACATATAAACTCACGGGGACTGAGGCAGCATGCACAGGTCTGCACCGGACGGGCCCTAGAACTGAAAGAGAAGTGGACACGTACCCTCATCCCTGACCCAGAAGCCATCTCCAATCAATAACCACTTGCAAATAAAAACTTAGTTTTCTCCAAGGGAATCTCACTGGGGAAACAAATTATTCTTAAGAGTAGGCCCCATGTCCAGCAGTAGATGTCCAACAGAACACAAGCTCAGCGGCATCTTTGTCTCTGGATAATAATTTTTTTTCTTACAGGTCCTTTGCATGTAAATTACAGCTTCCAGTTTTCTGTGTTTGTAATTCCTGTGCGTGTAAACCTGTGTCTCTGTGTCTCTATGTGTTTCTTGTACTTTTTCATGTTTGGTTGTTTTGTCCTATTCTGATTTTGTGGTGGTTGTTGTTTTATTTCGTTTTATCTTATAATTATTTCTTAGATGCCAATTTGTTTTCTAAAGAGAGACAGAAAGGGCATGGATCCAGATGGTAGGGGAGGTGGGGAAGAACTGGGAGGAGTAGGCAGGGGTGGGGGACTGTGATCAGAATATATTGTATGAAAAAAATCTATTTTCAATTAAAAAATAAATAGATGTAGAAGAGTATTGAACAAGCACTGAGTGGCTCTGGGAATAAAGTAACACTGAAAGTGAGGAAAAGTAGATACATTTTTCTGCCTTTCCCTTGCTTGTAATGTATTGCTGTGGGGTGGGCAGTATAAGATTTCAGTGAATGGACAAGAGTCACAAATCCACACACTTCTGAATGTTCCTCCATGCGTAGTCAGGTTTGGAAATGGCATTCACTTTTCATCTTTTTCTATCTTTTCTACACGAAAGGAAAAAAAAAATCCACAGGGAACCTCTTTAGCCTATTTAAGACTGACTGTCTTTTAAAATTCCTGGGTCAGGTGAAACAGGCGCATTCAGCTTCCTGGGTGCTTTGGAGCCTGTGTGTGGCTGCTTTTACCCGGTGCTCCTGGCCACCCATTTGCAAATGCAGATGGCTGAGGGGTATGCTGTCTTCTCCCATGATACACCGAAATCTCATAGCTCTGCTATAGAAGTTTACATCTACGTATATGTATGACAGCAGATCTGTTCCCCGCATTTCCTTCCATCCCTGAACTATTTGCCTGGCAGAGATAAAGAGGGACCACACACGAGGGACAACATTGTTCACTTTAGCCCTTCTTTCCTGTTTTCTTTACCTTATGTGGGAACAACAGGCCAGGGAACAATTTTTTCTCTAGTAGACAGATCCCCCATTGCCGTGTGCTGTTCACTATAGGGAACAAAGAACCTGTGCCCATCTGAATCCGGACTTCACATTGGGGAAGCACCTCAAATTTATTCATTTCCCAATTAGCTTCTTCAATATGTTTAATGTGATAAATGAGTTACATTAGCACTGACCTCTTCATAACCACCTTCGTTCTTTCTATTTTTACTATTTATGGAAATATCGAGGGCCTCAGAAGTAGAAGAGGCTTAGACTTCTGTCAAGGACTCCAAGAAGTCCTGGCCTAGATTTTATGAGACATTTTGTTTATCAGAGACCCATCTTAAAAAAAAAAAGAAACCCCAAATGAGAATCTGCCTATAAATTAAAAATCTACAGGAATGATTAAAAACAAAAATAACAAAACAGTGCATTTTTATATATTGAAATAATTAATCCTGTATTTAGCCACTCTGACAGACAGCATCTGATAGTAACTCATGATGATGTAGAGATTTAATAACATGCCTTATATAAATTAAAATTACAACCTTTGATGGGATTTTCTTCCTCATCTAAATGCTTCTAGGTGGAGGGTACTGATTATGAAAGGATTTTGAGAAACTTATATTTGCAGAGTTCTCTTCAATTTTTCAATGTCTAAATTCAATCTATGCATTACTTTATTATGAAAAGGTTAAAAAATGAAAATGACATATTATTTTTATCTGAAACAACTAATAAGTGTGTGGTACAATTTCTCTTAAAATCTTCAGCTAAGACTTGTAGTAGTAACTCTGTTGATGTGCTCAAGGCAATGGGATGAGGACTTAACAGAATATACTCTAGCTACAAACTTCTAACTTAGCCAAGGAAGGGGAGCCCTGCTGTAGTGGGTAGCCGTTCCAATCTTGATCTGGAAGTTCCAACCCCATTGAGGCTTTGGTAACTGTCACGCCTACAAGGCAGGGCCAAGAGAGGACCCTGAAGACCCAAGATCTGAATGCGCCGGCTCTCTTGGTTCCTGGACCCTGGACGCTGGAGGTAGACCGAACAGAGTTCTCCAGAGAACACCGCTGGACTGCACTACGTCTTTCCCAGACCCTGCGACCTACCTATCCTTTCATTTGTAAGTTACGCCACTAAATAAACCTCCCTTTTAACTACGTGGAGTGGCCTTAATAATTTCGGCAATACCCTGCTTTTCTTACTGTCTTAAAAGATGGTCATTTGAAAATGGACCCAAACCAAACATCCCAGCAAAATGACTGATTGAAGAGGGACCTGCGTGGATGTCAGGATGTTACTCAGCTACAGACAGAGAAGTTGCCTCTGCCTTCTTTCGGTGTTCTTATGGAGAGCACCCTTATAAGTGTGAGCCAGGTGGAGTAGATGGTATAAAGGCCTTTTTAAAAATACAATTTTTAATTAAAATGTAATTATATTGCTTGTCCCCTTTCCTCTTTCCAGCTCCTCCCATGCACTCTCCACTTCTCAAATTGATGGCCTTGTTGTTGTTTTCTTGGATTATTGTTGTTATGTATCTCGATTTGCACCAATCTGCTAAGTCCATTTGTGTTGCTTATGTGTATACGATTTCAGAGCTGATGACTTTGTGTTGGGTAATCAATTAGGGGACTCATCCCTGTGTGACACTAATTCTCCCTCTCAGCCTATGCAATACCTGAACAACAACGACAGTGTCCGTAGACTTGCTAATGTCTGAGTGGGGAAATCTAATAGGGTATGGCCCCCAGACAAAGAACTACATGGAACCAAAGGTCTTGTTTTACGAAACAGATTTGTGGTTCAGTGGGAGGATTGGAGGTGTGGCTCCAGCCTTAGTGGACATCAGGGTTGCCTGGGGATTTGGTTCTGGACACTAAGCTCTATCTACCCTTAGTGCTTTCTATCAGGCAGGGGCCCAAGAATCTGCATTTCAACAAATGCTCAGTTGCAACTATCCACAATTCAAGAAAAGCCAACTTAGGTAACAGAATGTATTTTTCCATATTTTCAAGAGTAAGTGTTTGTGTCTGTATAAGCTATTTAGTTTTCAAAGTTTTGGATTTTTCCTTAATCTAAATAAATATACAATGAACTCGGTACTTGTCACTGGTTTCTATATGATCAGTTAGGTATAGTCTTGCTTTAAAGCCGTAAGTCTACAAACTGGCAAATGGGAGCTCTGTTCTCACCTCAGAGGGATTCCTGTATCACTAGCTCTTTCTGTGTTCTTTTTATGCCTTGTACATTAAAGGTCATTTAATTCACAATAAAGAAAAAGGGAGATTGCTTAGTTTTATATGTCCTATTTTATCGTGTCCTCAAAGGACACCACCTTATCCTATTCTGTCTGAATTTTTAAAAACATTTTTTTTCTTAGCCAAGTGAACTCCCTCTCCTCATTATTTTGTATAATTCCATTTCAATTTGTAAGTGTGTTGTCCTCAGCAATAGCTTTTCCCATGTGATACTAATTTACAATTTTATGTCCGATCATAAGCTGTGTCATCAATTGCGAGCTTTGGGTGATGACAACTTGGCAGTAAAAGCATTCCTATCTGTAGGTAGACCTAGCATCAACCTTTCAAATAACATTTGCTGCACCTTTAATGGGAAAATACAAGCAATCATCAGATTGTAGACCTTATTGTGTGAGTCTTCAAAGCTATCTCTTAATATTCAGGCAGGACCAAACATCATTAAGGTGTTTCTTTCATGTAGCTTGCCACATTAAAACATCGTTTTATAGCTTGGCCTCATGCCATGCGGTACAGAGGGATACATTGTGGGAATAAAATGGATGATTTCTCTCTCATTTTGTCTGAAAACAAGCTTTGTAAAGACCCCAGAAAATATTCACTACCACCTAACTGTGATATTTCTCCATTACATCTGATCACTGGATTTCAAGAGGTTGAAGAAAACATTAAATATTCAAGTAGTTGTGTGAATTAATTTTGAAGCTGTGTTTTTACAGTAGTGATTGGGAGTTGTTAGAATACAGAGAAGTAGAGCTAACAAATGGAGTTGCCTTGTACATTATGAACTAAAATCCAATAGTCTTAGGCTTAAGGTTTTACAGAGTCCCTCACCAAACGTACCTTAGAGGTCTGTTAGTATGAACATTGAAATTTTAATTGTCTCCCTTTTTTATCTTTGTCAGACTTCCTGTAGCTGCAATAAAACACCCTGAAAGTAAAGTGAAGGAGAAACAGTTTATTTTGGCTCAAGATATGGTCCACCATCAGGGAAAGGGTGTGGTATCAAATAAAGCTTGCCTGAGGATCAGAGGACAGAGCCAGCTACTAGATTAAACACTGAAGTCAGGCAGTGGTGGCACATACCTTTCATCCTAGCACTTGGGGGGCAGAAATCCATCTGGATCTCTGTGAGTTCAAAGCCACCCTGGACTCTATGAGATTGATTCAGTCTAGGAGAGAAACAGAGCCAGGCAGTGTTGGCACACACCTTTAATCCCCATACTTGGGAGTCACAGGCCTTTAATCCCAGCACTTAAGATCTCATGCCTTTGCTACCAGTAATTGGGAAGCACACATGCCATTAATCCCAGCACTAGGAAGGAAGTGAAATGGCTGGGTGGAGAAAGGTATATAAGATGTGAGGAAACAGGAACTAGAGTTTTTCGGCTGAGGACTCAGAGGCTTTCAGTCTGAGGATTCACGGAGATAGGATCTTGCCTTCCATTTGGCCCGAGGATTTGGTAGTGATGAGAAGTTTCTCTAGTGGCTTGTTCCTTTGTCTCTCTGATCTTTCAACATTTACCCCAATATCTGGCTCCAGGTTTTTTATTATAAGACCTTTAGGAATTCATCAAAAAAAAAAAAAAAAAAAAAAAAAGGATGTCAAGGTGTTTACATCACATCCACAGCAAGGGAGCAGAGATAATCTTCATACCCCTCTAACATGAGCAGGTGCCCTTGCTGGCATGCACTGGCTTTAAGTATTGTGCACCATCTTCTGCCTTCTGAAAGCAAAGGTAACAGATGCTCTTACCCATCACTCCTGCCACTCACCCATGAATCAAAGGTGTGAACCTGGACACAATGAAATTATAAGAGCTGATGTCCAAGCAAAGATGTTAATTTTAATTGTGGGTATCTATACTCAGTTTGTTTTCCTTCTGTGAATTACCCTCATGGAAAGAGGTAAATACCAATTGGACAAATGAATTTGATCATTAAAATTGTTTTTTTCTTCAGCCCATTACATGAAATATAATTAATATTTGAAAGATTCCATCAGTAGTTTGTACCCAGACCTACGTCTGTTAGCCTCCTGGCATCAGGACTGGCCAGGAAAGCACTTGTCAAGGTCTTAGCTTTGTATATGCTGTATTAGTCAATTTGTAAAGGCAGCAACAAAGCAGATTTGTTCTAATTATGTAGAAGTAGAAAATCAAGTTTAGGTAATCTAAACACACTGCTAGTCACGTTCAATGTGGATTAGGGAAATTGGGGGAAGAAAAGGCAGAAATTACATTTTATACAGGATAATTTTACCAAATTGACACAATTTCCCAATGAATTTGTTATTTTCATGAGTTAGTAAATATGTGTGATGGCACCATACCATGATGTCTGTGCTGCGTTCCAGAAATAGCACACAGTGAGCTAGGAATGGATGCAAAAGCCTCTGACCACCTGATTTTATATTGTTTTGGTTCATCTGTTTTCATGTTAAGTTAATGACAATATGAATTGTAATAGCTGTTTCTGTCTTAAGTACCGCATGGCAAAATGACCAAGCTAAGGAAAATGGGAAAGATTGAAAGGTGATGTGGAGAGGGGGAGAGGCTGATTTTCAGTCAATCAAGCAATCTAGTTGAATTTATTTCTTTATTAAGCAGGACACACACACACACACACACACACACACACACACACACACACACACACTCATAGCCACACACGCACGCACATGCACATGCACACATGCACACACCACAGAGCCCACAGCGAATTCAGAGCATTAGAGAGGTGAGTAGAGGGAATGGTGGGAGGCACCTTATTTAGGAAGGGTGTCTGTCTTGCAACCCATTGTAGATGTAACCAACGGTCTTATAAAATAAGAAACACAGAGCCAATTCAGAGAAGAAAGCCAAGAGGTCAGAGCTAAGAGCCTCACCCTTCCTGATTCAGGGATCCTCTCCAGCCAAGAGAGCTCTCCGAAAGGGACCTACTTCCTGTGTGTCTGTCTTTAAAGTCTTCCTGTTCTGCCTTCTCATTGGTTGTAAACCCAAACATGTGACTGCCTCGTCACTGCCTGAATGTACCGCCCTCCAGGTCCTTAAAGGCGTGCGCCACCGCCACCATGCACTTGCTATGGCTCTAATAGCTCTGACCCCCAGACAACTTTATTTATTAACATACAATTAAAATCACATTTCAGTACAAGTAAAACACCACCACAACCCATTATCCCATTCTTTCCCCTGGAGAATTGGTTTAATGATGTGAGTAGCCATTTTCTTTGCTGGAAAACTTCTCTCACACACCTTCGTGTTAAAATCCTTTAGTCCTAGAAGTATCCCTTAGTAACTCCTCCCTCTGGCTTCCTCGCCTTCCTTTTGTTCTTTTCACCCATTTTTTTTTCCACCTGGAAGGCACAGGGCATTCAGCAGAGAAGCAAGGGCCAGCAACCATGTCTTCTTATCTCGTTTCCCCACATTTCTGGAAAATGATTAGCAAATTGCATTTTCCTTCAATGATGTCAGCTTCTTGGCCTTGCAACACAGTAAAGTCTTGGTAAAAGCAGCATCTCTTGTCAGTTATTTAATCTTGGGCTTGTTCCTTGACCTAATAAGGAATGGGCTCTTGAAGGGGCAGTTTAGAATAAAGCATATGTGAAGGGTGTGATGTTCTTAAAGGATTATATGAAGACAACAGATTTATATATCTGTATATATATATATATATATATATATATATATACACACACACACACACACACACACACACACACACACACACACAGATCAGCCACATGTGCAAGAGTGAAAAATTTCAATTTTAGCTAAAATTGATTTATTTGAAACAAGATCTTAGTGAGGAAAAGAACACGATTTATAGTCACACATCTTTCAAAAAAAGATTTATTGTTATTATTTTTAATTATCTGTACGTGTGTGTGTGTGTGTGTGTGTGTGTGTGTTCCTGTGAAGGCCAGTGTCTTCGGATCTCCCACAAACCCCAGTGACAGGAGATTGTGAGCTACCTGATGTGGGTGCTGGGAACTGAATTTGGGTTCTCTGGAAGAGCAGCACACACTCTTAACCACTGAGTCACCTCTCCAGCCACAACACCTTTTTTCTTTTAAAAGACTTTAATTTTTATTTTATTAACAAAGCTGCACCTAGTAGTAAGTAATAAGAGCATTTGTTTTAGTCTGCATGGGCATCTAGGAAAAAAATGGCTGTGTTGTCCAGCTATGGCTCAGTTGTTGCCAATGGGCTCATAAAAGGAGTGGATGGTGTCTGGGAGTCTTCCTGTGGGGGACAGCATTGGAAAGCATCACTGAAGTCCACCTGCTGATGGTCGGAGCCTTGTAAAATGCCTTTCCCTGTAGCACAGATAGGACATGTGGCTCATTTATAGCCAATGCCACTATGCTTATTCCCTTCCATCAGAGTTCTTTTTTGGCCTGGTGTACTGAGTGGCCACACTGAAGGGGCTTATGTGGTAAGTAACCCATAAATAGGACACTGTAGGGTATCGAGCAACTGTCAGGATTCTGTCCTTAATTATGTCATCAGCCTGTGACTGCATCCCAACCTAAAAAGCGGGTGCCCCCCTTTTCTTTCTGCTCCTTCCTTCCGTCTATCCTCTCTCTCTCTCTCTCTCTCTCTCTCTCTCTCTCTCTCTCTCTCTCTCTCTCTCTCTCTCTCTCTCTCTCTCTCTCTCTCCCACACACACCCCAATAAAGCTCTAAAAAGGTAACCATGGCTGTGATTCTTTCAATCAGCACTCTCCTCCACCGCCATGGCCCCGGTGGGCGGCGGCGGCCGGCCACGAGCTGCACGCTGTTTAACCAACAGCAACAGCTGGCAAGAAGCTGGGCCCTTAGTTTGAAATTAGGAGATGAACCCTGTTAACAGCT